CGTGGAGGAGCGGAAAGAGGAGGCGGCGGCGGCGACCGGGAAGGGGAAGTGCGCCTGCGCACTGGCTAGGGAACGCGGGCGGGGAGAGCCTCGGCCGCTTCCGGTGGATGAGTAGAGCAAAGTGCGCCTGCGCTCTGTGCGCCCGCCTCATCTCAGGGCACCGCCCACACGCTCTGGACATCCGGATAAGCCATGCCCCTTATGTAAATTTAACGTTTAAACCCCCTCTTCTATCCCGAATCACGCCTATTTCAGAGCTTAATTACCATAGTCCCCGCCCTTCGCCTCAGACTCCCAGCCCCATGAAGTTTTCCCTTTTCCTCCCCGCCTCCAATCCCCTCCCGTCTAGAACTCCACCCTCTCTCATAAGCCCCGCCTCTCAGAGGTTCCTAAGATGAACCACGCCCCTGAATTTAAGCCCCGCCCCTTCCTCCCATAGCATTGAAGCTCCGCCTCTCACAACTTTCACTCGAAATTAATTCTGCCTCGCACTTTCAAAGCGTTCCCTGAAGTCAGTGGGTCTCAAGTATAACTTGGAGACTAGTAGCAGTGGCATCACCAGGGAATTTGTTATAAATGTTAAGCTCTCAAACCATCTGCCCCAAATTCACTGATCAGGGACCCTAGGGGTAGGGCCTAGGGACCTGCGTTTTAAAATACCCTTTAACTGATTCTGATGCGGATGAAGTTTCAAAGCACAGCTTTACCACACTTTGTATAGTCTCCTTTGTATAGTCTCCCTAAGCCTCGCCCCCACCTCTGTCCCACCTCAAGCTGCTAAGCCCAATTCTGCTCAGCCCTTATTACTAAGCTCCACCTCTCTCGGGGACTTTCCTTTGTTACTCCTCTCTTAAGTCCTTCTTTCTCTCCCCTTGGTCTGTATAGCAGTCATACTCACAGCTCAACATCCTAACAGTTTAAGTCCCATCTGTCCTAAAACTTGCTTAGCCGCAGTTTCCCCTTGAAGTCCCTCCCCTCAGATAAACCCTATCCATTCCCTCTAAATGCTCTCTCAATTTCTGCCTGCCAGTTTCTACACCAGTCTAAGATTCACACCAGTTCTCAGCCCCTTCTCCTAAGCCCTGCCCACAGTTCTCACCTAACTTCCCAACACGGACCTCCCCTCAGCCCCAGCTGTGCCTGTGGAGTCCTTAGCCCCGCCTCCCGCCCCAGTCTGCCTGAGCCCTACCAAAGTTGCAGTCCTGCATGCAACCCTCAACTCAGCTGTTTCCCTGCAATCAGCGCCAGGACAAAGAGCTGGGTCAAAGTGGTGGCTGCAGAACTTCTGGGAATCTGGCTGGAATTGGGGAGGAGGACCTAAGACTCACGTTTGCACAGAAAGGTCAATGTTTTACTTAAGAGTGGATATTTAGGGGGAGTGCTTTGAGGTCCACTGGAGATGGGAGAGGGATCAAAAGCTCCCTCAAGCCAGTCTTTAGTGCCAAGGTAATGAGGTACATGGCATGGGTCACGTAACATAGGTCGTCCCATCGGGGTGGTTTCGCGGCGGAAGGATCTTCTAAGGGAGGAGGGCCAGCCCTGAGACCATCACGGAACACACACAAGAAGCCAGTAGGCAGAGATTTATTTCCACAGCCCCTGCCTCCAAGGGCCTGTCAGTCCGGGGGAGGGCCGCAGAAGGCAGCAGGACCCAGATGTTTGTGTCCTCACACTCAACCCCCTCCCACAACGGGAAGACCACCAAACATGAGGGTGTTCCAGTCTCCCTGCCCAGGTCCAGCACCAGCTGAACTCCCAGCTCTAAACCTGGCCCGGGGAGCGGTGACCAGGGGTGTGGGTCAGGCCAGCTCTTTCCCCTCCAGCTCCTCCTCATCGGCCCCTGCTGTGGCCGGGACACCCTCGTCGTCCCACGGTGGTTCAGGCCCTGGGTCCGGGGGACACAGGGGTGTCTCCATGGCCTCGGGGTGCTTGCGTTTGGCATGGCGCCGGAGCGTGTTGGCTTCCGTGAAGCGCAGCCGGCAGACGGGGCACTGGTAGGGGCGCTCCCCTGAGTGGACGCGGTGGTGGTGGGCCAGCTCGCCCGCCTCTCGGAAGCGGCGGGGACAGAGTGGGCAGCGGAAGGGCCGCAGGCCGGCATGGATGTTGCAGTGCCGCCGCAGGTGGCTGGACCGCTTGAAGGTCTTGCCGCAGTCCTTGCACTCGTGAGGCTTCAGCTCTGAGTGTGAGATGCTGTGGCGCTCCAGGTCGGAGAGGTAGGGGAAGGCCCGAAGGCACACCGGGCAGAAATGCGGGGCCTTCTTAGGGCCGGAGCTCTCAGGCCCGCCTGCCACTGACCCTTCAGAGACTGTGTAGGGCACACCCTGATCATCGATCAACAGGAGGTCACTGCCACTGCCGCTGCCCACTGGGGCTGTCACCCCCTGCGCCAGTGGGGACTCCTGCCCTGATTTGGGAGGGCGGCCCCGCTTGCGAGGGAGGGAGGCCTTGAGTGTCCGACTGGAGGAGGAGGCCCCCCCCGGGACGTCGGCCTCGGCGGCCCCGGGGAACAGGAGGAGGTAAGGCCAGAGGTTTCTCTTCCTCCCCGGGCAAAGGCGAAGGCCACGGGTCTGGGCTGGGGGTGTCCATGGAGCAGTGGGGGGCTTGGGTCTCGGCACTGGAGCCGGGCTAAGAGGAGAGAGGGGGCAGCCGTCAGTGCAGGGAGGGTCTGGAGCACCCCTTGTCCCCCAACACCTCGCCATCCCTGGGTCCGAGTTTCTCCACCTGGGCATGGCCGACATTCACTTGGACACACAGTTAAAGCTATGCTAGTGGGTAAAGTAGCAAGATACTTCTGTGCCAGTTGGTAAACAGGCACTGCCCTGGGCCCCAAAGGTGTCTCCCAGGCCTCCCTAACCCTTCCCTTGGATTTAGACATTCAGGGAAAACTTGAACCAAAGTAAAGAAAAATCTTCCATGGAGGATGGGGTCCAACTGAGGGTGCAGACCAGTATTTTGATCTTCAAAACAGAGACCATCAAACCCCAGAGCCACAGAGGCCTCAGAAATGTTTCTGTCTCCACTCCTAACTGACAGAAGTGATGGGGGAGAGGGTTCAGGATCGGAAGAATAAATGGGCTGGTCCCAGGTGATGTTTGGTCCTGAGTTATGGATGAGGTCATATGTCAGAGCTAGTAGAGTCTGGACTCTGGAGTCAGAGGTTCTGAGTTCGATTCCCGAGTCTGTCACTTACTCTATCATGGTGAGAAGGTAAGCCTCACACCCATGCTCTGAATAAGGGTATATCACCTCCATTTTGCAAATGGGGAAATCAAGGCACAGGAAAGCCAACTCAGGTGCCCAAGCTCCTTCTGCCGGTTAGTGGCAGGGCCAGGACTCGAACCAGATCTCGAAGACCCCAATGGTTAAGGGAGTGAGAAGAAATGAACCCAAGAGACATCATGGGGTCACTTTGTGTCCCGCGTTTGAACCCAGATCTGCTGTTAATTAAGGAGTGGCTTTGCCTCTCTGGTCCAGTTTCCACTTCTGGAAAATGGATATAGCAGGGTCGCCGGTTGACATATAGTACGCACTCAATAAACTACCATCACGACACCACCACCAGCAGCAGATGCTGGGACCATGGGATGGGGAGGAAACAGGTGCAGCTTAGATTAGGGGCTGCAAGTGCCACTGCACCCCCTTGTAACGGGCACACAGATTGAGGTTCAGAGAAGGGTAACTACTTTTCCATGATCACACGGCTTGCTCCGTTGGGGGTGCCTGGACTAGAACCCGGGT